GCGCGCAAGAGCAATCGACATATTACAGAAAAACGTCGACTTCCCTTTAACTTTAACGCTACTCCCTTAGCGATCCACTCACGCCCTGTTAAACGTCAATGTTGATAATAAGATTTTCTCATGGTATCCTCGACAAAAGAAGCCCAACTCACGTCCATAATTACATCATAATTGTCCATGAGTATTTTTTCTTGTTATTGTTTCCCGCGATATCCTATCAGGCTCAAACGGATTCCCAAGGACGATGTGGAGTTCGTTGATTCGAGCGTCGCGATTGGCGCGCGCACGAAAACTAAAAATTAGGTGCCTCCGAAACGTTAGTTTGCGAATTCGCGAAGAGACGCCCAAGGCTACAGCACTCTTGTAAGTTTTACAAAGCTCGTTGCTTGAAATTGAATTCTACATTCATATTCGCAGATCGATGTATTTTCTTATAATTACTCGCCGTTATTTAGTATTCGATGGGCGAAGCTGCGCAGTGGTTAAATATAGGGCGTCCTTACTTTCTTCGGTACGTGACCGACATCTAAAGCGGAAAAATTGATTTTTTTCACATCTCGGATGACGGCGGCTTATTACATGATTTGTGCGGATGCCATTGCATGAATGATGGATAATTGGAAAAAATGTTTAAGGCCTCTGCTGGTTTAATGTCAATTGCCATCGTGCCATTATGCCTGACTTTTACGCAATAAAAGAGGATACGTACTGGCGCTTAAATGATAATTAATTACTTTCCCTTAATGATATTTGGAATTTTTACATCGATATAAGGAATGTATGATAAATCTTGACTGCAATTTCTAGGGAAATATTAATGTTGGGTGAAAATTTTTTATGAATAAAATGAAAAATGAATCGAGGAATCGCGAGCGTCGAAAATTTTGCTCTCCAACTTGCTTGTATGATAGTGCATTTTGTAAATTCTTCCATACGACTGATCGTTAGCTTTATTAAAATAAGCTCACGTGATGATTATTTGCTCACATCTTTGGAATATTATTTATGAAATTCATATACTTGGAATTCATAAATATTGATACGAGATTTTGTTTACAGCGTCGTACGAAATGCGAAGAATTATAAGAGAATCAATGATATAAAAAAAATAAAAAATGAAATACTTATAATTTTTTCTTAAATATGGCTGAATATGATTTTATTATGTACCTATTGGTTCAATTTATTAATAATTTTGTAATAGCGATAAGGATTATTAATTTACGTGTACTATTTTTCATTCTCCCTCTTCGTAGTATCTTTCAGATTACGAAATACTTACTCGACTCCCATAGTACCCTCAGTCTTCTCTATAATATTCTTCAATCGTTGCTACGAAAATGAAAATATTAAACCTATCCATCTGATAATTAATCACGATACCTTTAATCCAAGGGGTATTTGCATTATATAACATAATATTCAATATTCAACTACCTAATAATGGTTTATGAATGAAACATGAAACCATAAGAAGGCTCTATATTGCACAAATTTACAACACATAATTTCAAAATATTTCAAATAAATTGGAATTCCTTAGCACAGAAAGAACATTTAAGAGAATATCGTTCAAAATTTCATACTCAAACCGTATATGTATATGCGCGTATAAGCATTGTTAATTTAATCAAACGCACACACGCGCACACTGTCCACGTAATTTCGCAAACTTGCTGATGTTTAATTTTAAATTTCCAACTGATTTTCTAATCATAGTATAGTCATTATAACGTTTTGACTATAACGTATAATTGTAACGTTTTCATTATAACGTTTGTAACATTATAACAAAGATTAAAATTCCATAACATCTTCAATTTGTTATTATTTTCAAGCGCGCGCTGAATGTCAAAATTACGCCCCATACAATTAAAGATGTACGTACGTACACATACCTCATGCGCATTGAATATAAAACATTAATACAGACGTTCGTTTCTTTATTTTATTATAAGCACTGCCGCCTCTTAAAATTAACGAATTAACGGCCTTTACTAACAAATAACGTGTACTGTTGAAACAGGAATATTGATCGAGCTTACGATTATGGAATTAGACGGGTCGAGACAGTACAGTACGGCCTTATGAGTTTGTCAAAGGATTAAATGGGAATGCAAAATTTCGTTACAGCCAATTCCGTAAGAAATTATGATAATGAAATAGATGTGCTTATTGCGGCAAATTCATTCCTTTCAAAATAATATTAATACTAGTCATATGAATTGTGCAATTTGCAAATTCTTTTAATAATAATTTCATTGACAAAATATTGTTATATTAACGAAATTTTATACTCATTGGCAAATAGCTTGTTATATAAATTTAAGATGATGCATTTTTAATGCTTTTTAATGTTAACATTTTTAATATTTTTTAAATATTATCGATTAAAATAACGAAGGAAAGAAAGAAAGAAACAAAATTCATTACTCTATTAATGGACAAGTATTATTCGGTGAAACAATGTAAAATATTCTCTTACAATCGTAAAGTTATATACGTTTGTTAATCTATAATATATATTATATGTATATATATATATATATATATATATATATATATATATATATATAGACTTTGTAATATATTCTTACGGCTGTGAAGCAATTGATTGATAAAATACAGAATTTCAATTCTTTGGAAAAATAATTTTTAATTGATAAAAGCTTAAATTATCGAATTCTTAAGATAAGATAGTTTCATATACATATATATATATATATATATATATATAATGTATGTAAATGACGAACGTGGAGAGAAAAACATCATTTTGTCACATAATTGAGGATAATTACTTCCACGTTCAATGCATACTTATAGCTTCTAATCCTAAATTTATTAAAGAGCCTGAATTCGCAAGTACAAACACAACTTTTCATCACCCAATGATTCGCTGAGAAAATTTCATCCAACAAGAATCATAAGCATGATATCTCGGGAAATGTTGTATAATAGTTAATGAAAAATCCTTATTCACGTAAAAAGCTCAAAGAGCCACGCGCGAAAGAGCTACAGTTAAACTTATTGTTAGCAATGATTATAAATATTGTAAAAACAACACTAACCAAATATTCAATATGTTATATTACGATGTTCAAGAAACGGAATAATATTTCAGATAAATGGAATTCAAAAATATGATAAAAATGAATTCGGTATAAATGGAAAAACTTAACAAGGAAATATTGTAGAGTTAGAAATTGAAGAACAACCACTAAAATTGTATTATCCATTGCCAATAAAATGAATTAATACAATTTTCGTAATCAAATCGCTCGCGATTGTGCTTATCTTAAATAAATATATGTGCCCGCGTGTGTGCACATATAAATGTACCAATTATTAAATAAAATAAAATGAGAGTATACAGGGCAGTTGATAGGCCAGAGAGTCTAAACTTTTTTTTAAATATTTTTTATTTTCTCTTTTTTAATCGATATCTCGTATTTTAAAACTAACGATTAAAAGGAATATTATGTCTGTCAGAATGAAAAATTGATAATCTTGCATCAGCCAAGGTAAAGTGTCACTTACAACTATATAATCCCTTAAATATTCATTACTACGTATTCTTATTTGTACAAGCAAATTTCCTCGTTTTGCAAGGGCAAATTTCCTCGTTTTAAAAATTAAATAAATAAATGAACGATACAGTAAGAGATGTTTAAAAATCCTTGCGTAACGGTCGCGGTAATTGTTTTATCAAAATTTCAAACTATTATTCGTAAATTTATTTTTCTTTAATGCATTGATGTATTTGCGAATTCGCTCAGATACGCCAAACTGTTTTAACATTTTTTTATTATCTATATTAAAAAAACTCCATCGGACGTAATATCGTCCTAAACTTTGTAAAACTATTTTATCTTTAAACCAATGCTTATTTAAAGCTATTGCTATGGCATATTAAGGAAAGATACAAAGTCAAGCTTGGAAAAGAATTTAATTGGCACATTCACTCCACCAGCTTTCCACAATGCATAATCATTAGGAAGTTGGCGATTCCCATAAGTAGCCAATGATAAAAGATAAATCTGTCTGTTCAGCTAAATTATACCGTATAATCGTAATATTGAAATGTATAAATCGACATTGTTACATTCGAGCGCTGCTATCCATCCTCTCAGACATTAAATATCCTTACGATGTTCGATCAAATTCAAGCCAATTAACATTTTCATTCTGAGTAGCATTGTCATGAATATTGGAATGAAAAACAAAAAGAAAAAAGCCTCAATTCCCCGGTAGTAAGTGAAATAAGGCAATATTTGAAAAGCGCTCGTCTAAACGAAATTGCTCGATCGTAATAAAATTCCAAACGTAACAAATTCGAAATATCTTTAAAGCCATTCGATTGTACGTACCTTCATCTTTCAAACCATCAAGCCTGCCTTCGCTTTCTCGCACAAAGCTTATTTCATCGAAATATACCAGCGGATCAATAAGGCCCCGAGGACCTCGCGAATGGTAATAGGAGAGACGAGACAATGTCGAGCGATTACGGGCGCAAACGAGCATGAATTGAGAGTCCGTACATCGTTCGATGTGCATAAAACGTAACTGGGTAGCGTTGCTCTCGACGCAAAATAATGGTCGCCATTCCGACGGAAAGACATTTGGAAATCCAAACCTGGATGACCGCGCCTGAGTACGATAGGTAGCCTACTAACCGGCGCAGCTCTTCACATTCTGATCTGGGATGAAAACATGGCCGTGTACCCACTACGGAAACTACAGAGATTGTAGGAGGAGGCAACGACAATGCAGGCATGCACAAATGGCCGAATGCGTAGTGACGACGACGACGACGACGACGACGACGTTCGTGCGCTTGTGCGTAGGCCTTTGTTGTGCTCGGATAGTAAACATAAAAAGTGAAAAAGGCTCGTGTTAGCGTGTGCGGTTCGTAATATCAACGCCCAGTACCAATCTTTGATTAGGTCTAATCGATATCTGACGTTCAAGTTGGAGATAAAGTTAAAAAGGCTGCTAACATGATGATGGGTGAAAATGACATCTTATCAGCCGAACAATATTACGAGACGGTACGACGTTAGTATTGGAATGAAACTCAACAGGCCGACGATTGCGTAGCTCGTGAAAAGAGGATGAATTTGTTGTTTTGGGGGTGTTGCTCGATTATACGTAGATTGCGATAAGCATGTCGAGTGATGAGATTTAAAGAAATTTTTATAAATACGTAGTATATATCGGGCGATGATAAAAGCAACGTTCGACGCAATCGTACGATCCATTCGGCTGTATTGTTAAAGAAATTCCATCAGCCGGAAGTTGTCCGTGTCTATTTTACTTTTGTAGGAGAAGTTAGCCATGCGTAAAGAGGGCGGTTGTGAAAGAGATTACGAGGCATATTTGAATTTAAACAAAAAAAATAAATAAATAAATAAATAAATAAAGAAGAATTAATGTACCGAAATGCCAAAATTGAGGTTATATTTAGGTTAAATTCGTCGCTACAAATATTTGTAAAATACTACGAAATGACGATTGCTCGAGATAACGAGAAATAAAAATAATGAAATTGGAACAATCAAATATTACGGTGACTACGAACGAATTGAAAAACAAAATTAAATACTTTATCCGTTGTTCAAATGTACTTAGAAAATTTAGAGCGAATGTAACGTTCATTTAAAGAATTTCAAAATAATCTGGTAGTTGGATTATAATTAGTCGGTGCTTAATCCATTCATAATATTTACATCAATTTTACTATTTATTTCACAATTTTACTATAAAAATAATAGCGTAAAAATATTTTATCACCTATTACATTTACTATTCGTTCGCGTAGATAAAGTCCAATCGGAAATCTGAAATTCGAGATGATGAAGAGTACGGGCTTTTTACGACGTATAGATGTTTATGAATTAAAAATTACACTAAATAAATTTTGTTTCTTGCTTCTTTCTCCATATAAATACAAAATTAATGATAGTACCGATGAATGAAGTACAATTTCATTGCAATTATTAATTTCATTTTATATTTCATAACATTGTTAAAAGAAAAAAAATAGTCTAGAGTCTAGTAAGCAAATAGTTAACGCCTAGGTTATTGAAACATTTTTTTCTTAATGTTCAAATCTTTATATTATCATTTATATTATACTCATTTAAGCTTATATGCTTAGGTAGCAATCAAAGGAATAAGGATAAGTATTAGATATATTTAAACTAGTATGAATATTTTCGATATTGAAAATTAAGAAAAGAAAAAAAGAAAAAACAAATACAAAATGCATTATTTAATGTGACAATGTTAGCATGGTTTCAAATATTCTGTGCGATGCTTTTAATTGGTCTTTTCAGAATAACTAAATTTATGTTATCTTTGGCATTATGTATGTATATTTAAAAAAAAAATTCTACCAATAATCAATTTAAACACTGACACTTTTTACATGATGAGCGCGCGCACCCTTGTGGAGATTAATTTTCAATTATTTTCATGCAGAAACTATAGAAACAAATATATATATTGATAAAATGAAAGGCATCGATTAAATATTACTTTTAAAATAAAAAAAAAAAACAATATAACAATAATAATAATTGCCAAATATAAAATCGTCAATGGACTGAAATTCGACTTATTTTTAATTGACGAAAATGAATTTTCATAAAAATATCTTAAAACTCGGCTTGTCGGGAAGAAGCAAAAAGTCTCTTTTTTTCAACACACTGGATAAACATTTTTTATCTTCTTCTGTTGTCAGAACAACGAGGCGACACCTCTTCTTTTACGAGCCCCCGATCCGCCATACAAGATGGTGAAAAATATCGGCATTTCGCAGCAGGCTTTAGTCGTGGATACGACGGGCTCGAAGATGTCAAGCGCTAATAAGTTTCCCCAATACATGGCTGGGGTCTCGGCGACCCTTGGTGCCATGGCCGCAGGTATGGTGCTCGGGTGGACTTCGGCTGCCGGCAAGAACGGGATAGACCTCGCCAAAGAGTACAACATACCCCTGACCGCCGACGAGTTCTCATGGATCGGATCCCTCGTAACCCTCGGGGCGGCGGCGATCTGCGTACCCATTGGAATACTGTCGGACCTCATTGGCCGTAAGACCGCGATGCTCCTCCTCGTGATACCATTCACCATCGGCTGGCTCTTCATCATAATGGCCAAGTCCATCCTCATGTTCTACGTCGGACGATTCGTAACCGGCCTTAGCGGAGGTGCCTTTTGCGTAACGGCGCCCATGTACACGGCCGAGATATCGGAGAGCTCGATCCGTGGCACCCTCGGCTCCTACTTCCAGCTGATGCTCGTAATAGGCATCCTCTTGTCTTACGGTCTCGGCCCAGCCATCAATATGTACAATCTATCATTGATCTCCGCGGTCGTGCCCGTCGTCTTCTTTTGCGTGTTCATCTTCATGCCGGAAACGCCGATCTATTACCTGAGGAAGGGCAATCGGGACGCAGCGAAAGCGAGCCTCCTAAGGTTGCGCGGCTCGCATTACAACGTCGAGCCAGAATTACAGGCGCTGGAGGAGTCGTTGATGGAGGAACAGAGAAAAAAGACGTCCTTAGCCCAGGCTTTAAGGACTAAAGCCGCGAGGAAGGGCCTCGTCATCGCCTTCGGACTCATGTTCTTTCAGCAGCTGAGCGGCATCAACGCCATCATCTTCTACGCCGGATCGATATTCGAGAGCGCCAACAAATCCATATCGGTCAATGTGTCCACGCTGATCGTCGGTATAATTCAGGTTATCGCGGTCTTTCTCAGTACGTTGGTCGTCGACAAGCTCGGCAGGAGGATCCTATTGTTCGTCTCGATCGTCGTCATGTTGGTAACCACTTTCTTCCTCGGCACCTACTTCTATCTGCAGCGGCAAACGAGCGTAGACGTTACGCATATTGGATGGTTGCCGCTCCTTTGCGTCTGCGTTTTCATCTTCCTGTTCTCGGTGGGTTTCGGGCCCATTCCTTGGTTGATGATTGGCGAACTCTTCTCCTCGACCACAAAGGGTAATTACATTGACCTTTACTACGCACCTTACATTCACCCTCAACCCCCCCCCCAATCTCTCACAATCCCTCCTACCCTATCAATCCTTAACAACTTAACAACAACCCTCTTCTCTACCCGACCAACGAATTAACAAAGACGATTAAGTAAATGATTACGGCTACAAATGATAATGACAATGTGGTCGCTGCTGTTACATAATCGTTGTATAGAGCGAGAATCGTATAAGGCGGGCTTCTTAGAGGACCATGCTCAACGTGCGCGCGCGCCCGCACGCACACAAAAGAAATGAAATAAAATTACGCCCCCGTCACTGAACTGCAATTAACTATTTTAGGTATCTCTGGAAGTAGCGCCTGCTTCTTCAATTGGCTCATGGCGTTCGTCGTCACCAAATATTATTCGTCGCTCGAGTTGGCAGCTGGTACTTACACATGCTTCTGGCTGTTCTCGGCTATCTGCGCGATCGGCTCCGTCTTCGTTTTAGTCCTGGTGCCCGAGACCAAAGGCAAGACGCTGGAAGAGATTCAGCATGAGTTGGGTGGTCAAAGTAGCAGCAACGAAGCTGATAAGGCTTGACGATGATCGTTGATGCGATCGATAGCACAAGCGTGTGAAAATAAATTAAACGTGAAACATCAAATGTTCTTTACGCCGGTGCTTGATTTAGTTACATTTCAGTATGCTGATGAAGCCACGAGGCGCTAAGTGTCATAAATCGTTTAAGACATTGTAAAATACTAAATTATCGCATTAGCATTGTTAAACGTGACCGATCCGAACCTCAAGCGGGAAATCAAACCAAAGAAAGATTAACAAAATATAACTGATTTATCACACTTTATTAATTAAAATTGTTGACTAAACACTAAGTTGGTATCCAGCCAATAAACATAAACATAAAGAGTTTTTCCAAATAGAACGCGTTCTGTTCGTTACAATAATAATAATAATTATAATAATTATAATAATAATAATAATAATAATAATAATAATAATAATAATAATAATAGGGCGACTATTATTTAACGTTCGTTGTGAATAATCGGATGGGAGATCGTGTGATATTAAACAAATTGCTAATGATCGAATAAAGTATTGCGCGGCCCTGCACGAAAGACTGACTCTTTTCTATCGACAAGAATTTATTGTCGCTATCTTACCATGTACGACACACCAAATTACGTACTATTTACCATATACGCATATAATATACGAGTATAAAATTTATACAAAATATTGTAAATATAAATTATTGTTACTAACGAGTCTCCTATTCTTTCATTTTCGTTATCATACCTTCGCTTACTCTAAACGCTTAAGCGACTGATCTTGACGAAAAAAAGAAAGAAAAAAACGGATGCTTCATTTAGCCAATGAGCATCCTAATAAAACTTTTAATGCATATTTATTAAATATGTAAATGAATAATTTATCGAACAGTCGTAACAAATTTTTGTTCATAATGTATAAATGCGAACAACAGAACATCGATAAAATAACGGAGTAAAATTAATTTACATTAAAAATATCACTTTTATAAATGCTGTTTGAAAAGTACGATTAAACGATCAAAACTGCTTTGACCAATGTGCGTTATTTAATGGACATAACTAATGGACCCTCCACGTATACAAACATTTTACATCGACATATACTCCCCGCTTATGCATACCGCATTCACATTAATTCAGGAAAGAGGTGCACCAGCAGCTGATCAAGCAGCATGTATGCAAGATGTTTGTTGAATGGGGCATTCTGAATTGGTTCTAAAAACGAATCCATTAATTTGCACCATTTGGAATGTATATGGAGCAGCCACCACGGGACAAGATTATAAAGTCCACCTTTCGCATTCCGATAATGTTCTTCGGCCTTAGTCTTTGGTGAAGCGTCTTTGTAGTCTTTATCAAAAATAGTCGAGTGTAGAAGTTTCACTACGATCGCCGCTCTCCCGCCGCCCAATAACTTCACTACCATATTACGAAACCAACTGTTTACAGCTGGATCGACAGTTGGGCGAAACGTTGAGGCCAATATCCATAAGATCCTAGATACTGTTGGAGAGACTTCTAATAAAGTATCCACTGAAAAGACAATAGTATTTATTAATAATGCATAAAGAGCAATTGTTAAATAATTATGAATACTCGAGTCATCTCGCTTCATCGTTTAAGGAATCTAATGAATTTAACCCTCGATTCAGATCATAAACGGTATTAAATACCAATGTACATAAATAATAATAATAACGATGAAGATAACGATAGACGAATTACATGCAATTTTAAAGTCAAGTATCCAACATCCAAACTAAAAAAACATCTACATATATATATATATATATATATATATATATATATATATATATATACGTATGTGTATATGTAAGATTTTACGATTCATTCATTTAACGAGGAACAAAGGAACAAATAATACGCAAAATATAAATGTAATGTAAAGTGCAATAGAATTCTTACTCCTGAACGAATAAATACGATTCTGTAGCGATATCGGATAACGTGCTGCTTCCGTGCGAATTGCAAAAGAAAAAACGAGCAAAAAACAATTTGAAAATTTTTTAAGCCATTGTTAGAGATTTTCAAAGACGACTAATAACTCGTTGAGATAATCGACGATAAACTTACGGGCCTCGGCGATGCAAAAGCACGCGCCCTTGATATGCTGCAGCTTATTTACAATGTAAGGAAAGCTCTGTGTCCTCGAGTCTATATTCAAATTGTTCCCAAAAGGCCCGCTGCTGTCAAACAAATTTCGTCCCCTCCTCTGACTCTCGTGAAAATTGTGGTCCCCGTCGAGCTCGATGCCCAGGTCCGGTTGGTCGTGCCTCACACTAGTCGAGGACAGCAGAGTGTTCATAAACTTATCCAGATGCTGACCCTTCTCCTTCCTCAACTTATGAGCCATGCTTTGATAGAGCACCCCGATGTCCGGAGTCGTGTAGTTCGTAAAGAAGGGCTTGAGATTTGGCACCGTTAGAAATGTGTGCAGGAGCTCGCTGTTCCTCAAGGTCGGTTTCGCCAGCAGCTTCTGCAGGAAGTCTTCGTAGCGTTGGCTATGAACAGCAGAATTTCTTTGTTAGTTAACGCGATTGTTGACAAACATATTATATTGCGATTAATAACGATTGTATTTGCTTGATCTATCCAGTGAATATTATACCTCTCGGCTCAGATAAACAAAGAACTCAACAAATAACTAAGATAACTCATCTTTTGTTAAAACGCCAAACGGACATTTATGTTTATTTTAAGCTCACTGGCCTCTTTTTCACGTATAAATGTTCGTCTAATTTATATTTTTTATAAGCATTATAAAAATTAATATCACTTGCAATTGAATTAAAATGCTTATTTAAAGTAAGTCTTGAGCAAGGAAAATATAATTAATTTGATATATTATTAAAGCCTCTAACTTGAATTGCCAAGATTATTAATAATTTACGATTATTCATGCTAAATTGATTTTCCAGTTCATCAAAGAGTAGAATTGCATAATATTACAAATGTAATAAACTGTCTCAACCCTAACACCTCAATAATAATACAACTATCAATAAACTTAAAAAAGCGATAGAAACGTAGAAATCTAATAAATCTTTAATGAATAATAAACCAAAGTTTCGCAACTGGATAGATCCAATACTAGTTTCTATTTAATAGAAAGAGGTGGAGAATTAAAGTTTAACGCTCGATTTAACCGACAATTTAATATAGCGACAAGTTGATTCTTAATCAAAGCGGAACAATAGGAAAAATCGAAAATCGAAACTGATGATTTAAAGTTGGGAAAAGGGCACGTTGTTGCGACATTTGACATAATTGTAGGCAAGACATTAGTAATTTGTCATTATTGGCGTAGCTCTTGCCTATTAGCGGTTAAAGACGGATGGGGATTCTTCCGCGTGGGCAGCGGCGAGTCGTTGAGCTCCCGATCACCGTGGAACTCGGAGAGGCGGGCGCGCAGGGCGTAAAAGTCACCGTCCCTGCGCAGCACCGTCCACGATTTCCCCTCAGAGGCGTTTGACACCGAGAGCATGTAGAGGGGCTGGGCACCGCCCCCGTCGACATAGGGCACCGAGACAAACCAGGTGGTGAGGTCGTGACTCGTCGATACTTGGGAGCTCGGTTCTACGCTGCTTACCCGCGACGCACAGTTCGCCTCCTCCGCCTGGAACACGTGCTGGGGGTGGAAGGGCGCCCCATCGACCGCGGATGCCTTCAGAACGCCACGAATCTTCCCCAGCTGGTTGCTGAGGCGCGCCCCTACGCCTATTCCACTGCTTGCGTTACTGAAAAGGCGAGACAACGCTTATTTAGAGTTACGAGGTTGCCCCGTTTGTCCAGCACCGTGATATTAGAAACTTTTAGCGAATTGAGTTCTATGCGACAATACTTAGCTATAGAAAATTTAAAGTACGTGGATTTAAATTTATCCACCCCTAGTGATGATTAATCGACAACAAAAATGCAGCTTCTTAAATTTATCCCATGTCCATGTCGATGTACACGTGTATTGTAATTAGTACTTTATTGTTTTCCAGTTTTCTGTTACCCTTATTGATTTCAAACTATTACGACTTACTAATAGTTATTTTAATTTTTATTTTATAATAATGAATTCAAACTGGGAGTTATATATTGATAAAAAAAATTCGGACCAAATTTATCCCGTTTGAATAAAATTTTTAATAATACTATCTGCCAAAAATTGATATTTACTCAGTCGCTTACATCATTTGTTATAACACGATACTAAATTCCATAAAAATTACCTATTATGAGTGCTTATTTTTACAGAAGTATTTATCACTGGGATGCCGCATAAAAATTTGTAAATCTAGAAATGATGAAGTTGGTTATGAGTTTTAAATTAAGATACTTTGAATAAAGAAAAATAAAACTAAAAACTATCGTATCAATAATATTTTATACTTGATAAGTGTGATGAAACGATGGGAGCAATGTGTTTTCTAATAATGTATGAGCCTCTTGATGAGCTTCGTATAATGGACGTGAAGTTCTAAGCTCTTGTATTTTTTCTCGTCCAAGATCTAAAACTATTTGATAAGCAAAATAATAAAATTTATTTCACATAGAACATCGAGATAATGAAAGCGTTTTATTACTTTCTTTCATTCCTTGAGAAATACATATTGGCAAATTTAAAAAGTCAACGCTTTCCGGATCAAGATAAGTACAATATATATTCTTAGCATCGGTATACAGTGTCTCTTCGATTGCTGGTGTCATTTCTGGATTCAGCAGTCGCTTACTTAAATCATCTAAAAAAAACAACAGGATATTAAATTAATATTGAAATAATCAATATATAATGTAAAATAATTAATGTCATATGCATTCTGTATTTACCTATATCTAAACAAAATTGCAGTAAATTAACTAACCCAGAGTCTTTAATATGCTGCATAAACATATAAAGCAATTCCGGATCGTTCAAGATTTCTTCTAACGATGGCTTTAACGTATTCGAGATATTTTGATTTTTTTGAGGACTAGTAATCCACGTTTGAAGCACAGGTACGTACATGGTATCGGTGGATTGAGAGAACTTCCCTTCGTGATGAGTGCATAATGATATTAGCATATTTAAATTATCTGGATTGGCAAAAGCATCGATCGCTGGCAGTAAGACCCAATTTGCAAGAACCTCGCGCAATATAACCTACAAATTGTACATAAAAATAGATTTCGTTTATTAACTTTATGTGGTATTAAATTGGCCCCAACCACCCTTTCAAATTCTTACTTGATTATTTGTAGAGATGTGAGTAGCGGGTAACAAGTGAGGTAGCAATGCCGCAATGACTCCTCTAAGGTAATTTAATTCGGCGGTTCTCGAGTAAGCAGCTGGATGAATTTTTGAACCCAAGAGATCGGTAATATGGTCAGCAGGATTGCCTCCTAAGTCTTTAGCTCGTTTTGTTAATTGTTGCCAATCTTGTGCATGATGAACAGCCAATGGTACCAGATGATTAAAAATTATATGTGAAAGATCAACTTTATACAAGCGGCCCGTGACATTTGTAACAGCTGATGTAATAGCCAATCTCAATTGTTGAACAAACGCCTCATTCGACGATAAATCGGAATACCATGTGCATACGTACGATTGCAATATTTCTTCTAAAAGCTGCATCGATATGAATTTTCATCAAAATCAATAGAATAGCATTAGCATAGTTTACATTGGGTAATTCAATATAAACTACCGCCGGAATAATCTTAAACTACATCTCTGCATCTTTACAATTTTTATAAATAAACTATTTATCTAGTTTTGTACTCACGTGTGTCAAAGCAATGTCAAAGCCTTTTGGAACTTTGGCAATGGCATTTAAATGCATCGGTCTACGATGTCTCTTACACTGATGATTATTGCAGACTCCGCATGATTCGTCGATAGCAAACTTAAACTTGTCGTTAGAAGCAGCTAAGGTACTTTGAATAAGACAAATTAATTGTGTTCCAGATACCCATCCAATTAAATACAAGATACAAAGAAATGACGCCCAAAATAAGCTACAAAAATTATGAATAATTAGGCAAATAAGTGATAATTATTGCAATAAACAAGCTAACGTAAACCACAAAATACATGTAGTTACGAAAGCTAACCTGTCGAACAAAGCCGCAATGATGCCGAAAATAATAGCTGCTATTGCCAACGAATAGCTTACTTTATCACATAACATTGTTAATAAAATTACTAAACCATCTACTTATTCGTCAAATTCATATCCTACGTTAGCTTCGGCACTCTCTGCATCATTTCACGTCTCATATAAATAACATTCGCACCGATCATGGCAATAAAAACTACTTTATCAAATCTTATCACAATTTCATTCTGAATGGTATTAAACACTTTGCGTATGAACGAAATGCAACGGCATTCGTGAAATTACGCATTTTCGATTGACGCATGAATGAATCACTTGCTCCTTCGCACCTACTGCTAGAGAAATCTTAAACGTCGCAAGGCGCACGACTGTTGGCCATTTGCGGAAGGTTCAGACATGTTTCTTACTTATATTAGAATGAGATGAAATGCTTTGGTGCGAACGACTCTTGTTCCCGCGTTATTAACGATTAACGAAATTCGTCACATATAAATATGGTCGTTATGCTATGTGAGTTGTATTATTGAAATGATTTTCTTTTCATTACAATTACGCCAAGTGGCAATTACTGGCAAAATTTTAAGTACTCGAGGAATAGAATTTCACCCGAGTTCACGTGGTCAAAGATTTTTATTTCATATATTTTAGATATATAATATGTCACAAACCAAAATCCTCCTTGCATTTCCTTATATATTTAAATAATTTCCTATTAAGTTGGAAGTTTCTTTTTTTAACAAGTTCGCTATAAAAATCTACACAATTCGTAATAATCGTTTGAAGACTTGATAATATTATCTCTGTCTTATAATGTATCATAAAATACATCTTAATATTAAGTTTAATAAGAAAAGTTTATTTTAACGAGTATTCAGCAATTAAGCATAAATTGTACTAGAAATTTTAATTATAGAAAAACTTTTATCGTTACCTATCTTTCTTCTGTATTTGAATAAATTATGAAAAGAAAAGGTATAGCGGCAATATTATTAATAATTATCATTTACTTCACAACTGATTAAATATCGAATGATTTTTGGATATGAAAGTTTAATATTATTTTTTTTTATCTTAGGAAACGAATCTGATCGGCCCAATAAATACTTCATACTAATACCTCCATCCCTATATACTGGCTTAACTATATTATCATAATCATTATCATTATCATTATCATTATTATTATTATTTAATCAACTATGTTCACCGGAACTAATAACTGTTTTTTTTTCCTCAAAGATTGCATATTAAATATAGAATCATGTTAAAAATTTTATTAAAATCTTTTAAAGTTTACCGAAGACTTTACTTTCACGTCGAGTCAATTTTGTTATCATTGATTGATTTAATTCCTTAAATCATTAAGTATGTTTAAATATTTCGTGTATGTCATATACTAAAGTGAACATTAATCTCTTATGTACGGCACACACGCGTGTTTTCTTAGCAACTTAAGTAATATGTCATTCTTAGTAATATCCTCTTATCTTATGAAATTTTTCTTAAAAAATTATTATATCTTAATTGAAGAAGAAGAAGAAAACGATGAAATAACGAATTTCAAGTTTCAAAAGTAATTTCTACACCCCATGCGTTACACAGTATTTGAGAAAGTATCTTTTAAATTTTTAAACGATAAACAAAAATAAGATATATTACAAATTAAATGAACGAAAGTGCTTATGGAGTATAAATTTTGGTAAACACAAGAGCTTAATTATTCAACTGCAATAGTAAAATGTATTTATCAATCTTCTATTAAAACAGTGCATTGTTAAAAATGTAATGAATATTATTTAAAATTATTTATGAATATAGAAAGAATGATAAATTGTAATTTTTACTATTGAAATGGAAAACAAAAAATAATGCGGCCTTGACAATTAGAAAACTATACAGCTTTCAAAATAAATTGAAGCAATTTTAAAGAGTGAAACATTTCACGAAAAATATGTACGTTATAGATGAAATATAAAAATCTTTGATCAATTTCTTTAATCATGTAATCGACACTAATTTCGAATTAAAATAAAAAAATTAATAAGTTGAAGTGTTCAACAAATTTTTGTATCATACATGATTTATTCAGAATATGAAAATTCATTTAAATTTTTTAATTTTTTCTCAAATTTAATAAAGAAATATGGCACTTACGTACGATATAATTCATTTCGTTCCTTAATCTAGCCATAATGACACTTTCTTCATTTTTATATCATGGATCCTGAATTGATTTTTTTTTTTTTTTTAAAAAAAGACGATCATTATGGATACATTTATTATAATAATGCATGTAAGGTTGCCTCGATAATTTTAAGGTTACAACATTACACACATGACTATATATATATATATATATATATATATATATATATATATATATATATATATATATAATATTGAAAAAAAAATAAAAAAATAAAGTAAATTAAAAAAAAAACTTACAAGATTCCTGCTATAAAATATCTCTTTTATTTACAGGATTAAAATGTATTTAAAAGCTTTTTTTGTTCTAGCATACGAAACAGTGATAGACGAGGTAGCCTGACAGGTATGACTTGCAACGATGTATATGACAATTTTTTCAGGATTCTCAGTACCTCTTAGCATTGTTCCAAGTTGTTTTCATAAAAATCGCATTTTACAATGTTTTTTTATTTAAAGAGACACATGGCTTTCAATTTAAAAATATTAATTTTGTTTTTACATACAAGGTGTTAACTGATATATTAGAAGCTGATGCTTTTTCATTTAGACACCTTTTGTTACAAAATTGTAATTTCCTTAAAGTAATCGAACATTTTTTTGTACTCGTAAATAAAAGAAAGTTATATAAAACGATAGATGCAAGTATTCGCAATAATATTATTTATCATTTTCCTCGTTACATTTGTTAAAATTTTCTTTTCGTCAATGACAATCAATCGGAATAATGCAACCGTAATGGAAAAACATGTCAATACAGTGTTTTTCGACGAAGTGAACTGTATGCCTGAGAAGAATGAAACAAGTTGATTGAATCGAATGACTTTACTGTTGGCGCAATTATATATATAAAAATATGCATGTGACCTCAGATTGCGGTGCATGCTAAGCCTCTTGGAAATCTACTTCTTATTTCATTTTGACCATTAAACCTTTTTCATTTTTTTTATTCTTTTTTTTTTTTTTTTTTTTTTTTTTTTTTTTTTTTTTTGTTTTAAGTTGCTCACCATCGCACCCTATACTGTACTTTATACTTTAGCATTATTGGTAGTTCACAATTAAATCAACTAATATTAGTTCAATTAATAATATTTAATAATAACAATGGGCTCGTAATCCGATCCACATACTTTACAAATATTTCCAGATTACTATTTATATTCTCATTTTTTAATCTTTATTTATTTATTTTTATCTTATCATCATCACATTCTAAAATATTCGAACGAGCAGAAAATTTCACCTCTGTCATCGGCGTTGGTATGGTGATCACAAACGCAAAGGTTTTAATCCGAATTGATAGATGAAATCGTTTTCTGTTCATTTTCAACATTGTTGATTATGCTAACGAATACTTTCGTGAATATTTGATAAAATTAAATGCAACTTCATTGTTTTATTAAGGAAAGTAGTATCAAGGAACATTATTCAAGCTTGTTTTGTAAAAATCATAGTTACACTATGACTAAACATTTCAACTTTTATAGCATCTTTAATTATAATTAAAATAAAAAGAAAACGAGTTTCTTGTTACGTTTAGATAAAAACCCTTGCATAAACGTTTGATCAGTTTATTGTTAGAAATGCACTTTTGTTTGTTAAATAAAACTCTCCTAGCCGCACGCGTAATAACAAATAGCAATAGTAAAACGTCTTACACTGGCAACATACGCATGATATATTATAACAAGCCTGTTCGAGCTCCCACCAAAACAAAAACTCTCGCTGAGACTTAAGAACTATCACTTTGCAATCTGAATTAAAACTTAGTACCGTTTTTATCTTCTGCTGCCTTATATGTACTTCCCAATAATATCTTTTCCATTTAAAGTGAGCAGTTAGTTAGTCTTTTTACAATTTGTAAATACGACGTTCAATAACATAAATGAAAGGCCAAAGAAACTATTAATAATCGATACAAATTGAAAACAAAATAAAAAATAGACTTTTTCTCATATTTGTTTTTAATGACAATAAAATAAGAAACAGTACAATAATAATAATTAATAATTAATAATTAATAATTAAAAATTAATAATTAATAATTAATAATAATAATAATTAATAATAATAATAATAATAATAATAATAATAATAAAGATAATAATATAATAAAAATAATTCAGTAATTATAAATTGCATGTAATATTAACTAGTTTATTCGAGTTACCTCGTTTTCTTATCCACCAAATTCTTGATAATTATAATCGATATTTTATAATAATAATGCTAATATTAATAATAATCCCTTAGTTATGTTTTTTCCCGATATTATATTTTCTCGTTTAGTTTGCAAAACTCTGTAAAACAAAAATATCGTCTTCACGTTATTGAAAAAACTTTATTACTAATTTATTATTGGGTATTAATATCCCTTTACAAGAAATATCACTCAACGCTCAAATGTTCTTGTTTCTCGGGAAAACCAGGCGGCCTTCAATCATCGTTTTTTTTTTTTTTCATTCTTTTAAAGTGATTAAAAGTAGCTTGGATTTCGGCTTTTTATATATTTTCTTCGTATATATAATTCGCATATACCTCTACATACTCTGATCAAAAATTCTCATCGGTATGATATAAATTGGTGTCGAGTGTATGTGTACGTATATCAGTGTTTCACGAGTAATCGACGTGACTGTTGTTTGTATTTTTTATTTTGAATATACCAAGTGTTCGGCTTCTTATCGTTGCTTTCACATTTTCGTCACACTGTAAGTGTTCTCCCTCTCGCGGCTGTTGATAATAACCAGGTTTACTCGACCACCTTCAGCACCTTGCCAATGGCAATAGTTTTATCTACAATCATATCAGAAAACGATAAATTAGCTTTGTTCTCTCCGATTAATACACCAAATTTATATTATAAATACATATATGTATACACACGCACGCACACACAACCACCCACCCACCCACACGCGCGCGCGCGCGCGCACACACACACACACACACACACACACATAAAATAAACGTATAATTAAAATAATATTGAAGAATAAAATTTACTTTATTGATAAATTATCAAGTAATATCACTATTTTTTAATATATTATTTATCAAACATTATAATCCATATTTCAATTCTTAGAAACCGCGTTCACTTCAATTAAACATCTTTTTCTTTTACTTTTTCAGCTTTGTTTCTCCTCGAGACATTTTATTATAAAATATAACAAATATTTGAACCATTCTAATCCACAACAACCCTGATAATATTAGAGGAATAATAAAGCATCATCGACAACTTACTTTCGTCCCTGAGAGTAAATCTTCCCATTTGAGGGAACAGTTTGAATTTTTCAAGGCATATAACTCCGGCACACTCGATTCTCATGATTGCCACTTGATCTTGTTTAACGAACCTGGGTCGCGTTTTACTCTTCTCGCCCGACTTCTTATCAACTAAACAGATCAGAGTCTTTACTGTGACTTCTTCTGCAGCACAGTGTATGTGCATCACAGCACTGTAGCCAGCACAGATTATACTCTTGTGTTCCAAAATAACGACTTGTGCGTCGAAAACTTTTCCGGTCTTGATAGGATTATTACTATCGCAAAGCACAAAACCAGGGCTAACGTCCTCCTCCTCGATACCCTTTAATTTAATTTTTACATTTTCACCAGGGCCCACAGATGTGACTTCTTCGTCATCCGACCACAGTTGGTCCACTACTACTGCCGTCTTAAATAGACAAAAATTAAAGTGGAATATTAGATACCGATGGTATAGCAATGGCACAATTGTTTAAAAATTTTACTCGTCTTAATAGAAGTAATGTGATATTTTCTATAATAGATATAATATATAAGATATTATAATTGGACAATAGGATTATATAATTGAATTACATTGATTCTTGATTTGTGAGTGGAAAAAATATTTTTAATTGCTTTTATTATATTGCACCACCTATAAATATAAGCAACATTTGTTCATTGTGTTTCATCGAGATTTATATACTCAACATATCATTTTAGAAAAATTTGATCGTAAAAATGACGATAAAATTATCAAATAAAATTCAACAACTATATATATATATATATATATATGAATGAATTAATTGATTGTGCTTAATTGATCAGAGGACTCCTTAGAATATACGATTAGAACAGTATATATTACGATATAGAGCAATTCTTGACAATAATTACCCTGTTTGGCATCACAAAAAGCGATTGTCCTTTTTTAGCTTCACCTGCTTCTACTTTACCCATTACAACTGTGCCCATGTCCTTATATTTATCAACAATGGGCATTATAAATGGACCACTACTCTTGCGATTGAGAGAAGGAAGAGAATCTATAAAAGGTATGAATGGTGGACCCTTGTACCAAATGCAAAGACTTTCAGGAATTGCATCTTTCAAGCCTATTCCAAGTTGTCCTGATACAGGCATAAAGGTGAGATCTTTTGCTGGATTGAATCCTAATTTACGGAGGTATGGTAAAATTTTGTCTCTGAAAATAAAATGACTCATAAGTACAGCTGAATAAATAGCGTTGCAGTTAAAATGTTAACTCGATAAAATTTTGATACTATATCAATAAAGACTTAATGCTTTGGCTGATTAGATTAAAAATTTAAAAGCTTTTGTTTCAATTATTCGCTAGGTTAGATTCAATTGTACATGAAATTGTAGACGCTCAATCTAATTTTCTATAATAACCTTTTCAATCGCCTTGACCTTCAACTGGCCACCGGTCTTATCAATTCATAAATTCGAATTTTCTAATTAAATTAGAACCATCGTCGTTTAATAGGCCGTTAGTAAGGAGAAAGCGTACACCTTAGTATAATAAAATTTATTTTGTATAATTTTCTTTGATTTAATTTCCACTTCTTAGCCATAATACTACAATTAAAATTAATGAATCGCTCAAAGAGATATTATTAACGACTTAAAGCCAACCCCCATGCAATCTAACTGTTAATTCTTCCTCATTAAATTACGACTCTTTTTTCCTCACTTTTTCAAGTCTACCAGGCGTTAAAAATAATTACATATAATGATATTATTGGTAAAACATGTATTCCGTAAGTAGAATCAAACGAATATTTCCGTGTATATTCTAATGCCGCGCTGCACACGATGTTGCAAATACGAACATAAAACCGTTCAATGAGTAAATAGAATTATAAGCAAACAAGTGGATGCCCACCATCGCAGGTACTAGTTCGTTTTCATTAAGAGCTTGGAAAACCGTAAGTGCATCAAAGAAATGAGGCGTAAGAAAGCCAATGGACATTTACCTGCATTCGTTGTATCTGGCTTCATCCCATTCGACGGTGGGGTCATCCATCTTATTAACTAACACAACCAGATGTTTGACACCAGCAGTCTTGGCGAGCATCGCATGTTCCCTCGTCTGACCTCCCCTGTCGAAACCCGTCTCGAATTCTCCTTTCCTCGCTGATATGACGAGGACAGCGAGGTCCGCCTGGGCCGCACCCCCAATCATATTCGGTACGAAGCTTTTATGGCCTGGCGCGTCGAGTATCGTAAAATGCTTTCTCTCGGTCTCGAAGTACGCCCTCCCAACTTCCACGGTCTTGCCTTTCTCTCGCTCCTCCTGATTGGTGTCCAGGGCCCAACTTAAGTACCATGTCTCTCTGCTTCGCTCCTTGGCCTCTCTTTCGTATTTCTCCAGGGTTCTCTTGTCAACCATCCCCGTCAGAGCCATTATTTGGCCACCAATAGTCGACTTGCCAGCGTCTATTATTCAATGAATTGTAGCATTCGTTAATTACGAAAGTTTAAAAAAAAAAAAAAACCAAAAAAATTTTTAATTTTACATAACATTTCATTTAATTTATGCAGAGGACGTTTACAGTTTTTCCTCTTAACAGCGATAAGTGAGTATTCAACTAGTCTTTAGCAATTAATAAGCGGTAGACCTATTTTATATCTCAATAATTGATCGAATTATTATATCTCCTACTTACTTTACACTAAGATGTTCAAATTGATTTTATATTAAACTAAGATACTTCAAATCTTTAATAACGACACTTTTGACTACACTTTATTACAACATTAAGAGATATAATAACCATTGAATTAATTTGATTATAAATAAATATTTATTATAATCGTCATATACAATACAATTCAATAATTTAATTCTACTGTATGTACAGGCTGTCTTAGTATATTCGATGCAAATAAAATGAAAACGATTAGTAATCTAACTGTTGTAAATAGTATTACTTACCCACATGACCAATAAAAACAACATTTACATGCTCTTTTTTACTCTTCGTATCTTCCGTAACTTTAACAATTTTCTTCTTTGGCACCTTAACGACCATTTCTTCATCTTCTTCAATTTCAACTTCGACCTGAAAGAGTTATATGTAAAACACTAACTGTAATAAAAAATTTAATATATAGTATTTGTAATCAACATATTTGTAAAAACAACAATTTCTTTTCTATTATATAAATATCTATTTTAACAGAACAAATGCACATCCTGAATTTCTTAACAAGTTCTATGGCATGAGTGACTCGTTTAAATTAGAAACCATACTCATCCCTACATAACTACATAATAAAAATGCCACATCCTTATCCGATTAGATACATTGCGCAATATATTTTATTACCAATAATTTTATTATTATTTAAAGCATTTTTTTTTTATTTAAATAGCACTGTAATTTATTCCACCCTTATCTGCAGATTGTTTATCTATGTAAAAACAATGCTCTTAAAATACATAACCTAACACTAAGCAACTAGTAATTCAAAATTTATGCACACATTTTGAGTACGTAAAAACATTAGTTTAAATATAATCATAAATTTGATTAAAAAATACTGCTAAAATACATTCACATTTATTTATAAATAATATTTCAAGGGTTTTATATGATTGTTAGAACTAGATTATTCGTTGTACAAGAGAAATGATCATGTATGGAAATATTTATTCTTTAATCTTATTTTCGATCCTACAAACCTAATGGATGTTGTCGAACTAGCAATAATTATTATTTACCTCCTCATTTTCTGGAGTTAAAAGAGGATCTCCGTCTACCGCTGCTTCTTCCCAGGAGTCTGCGGGTTGATGCTCCGGACTGGTATTTGTAGAATCGGTATTTAAAATATTAGGAGGTCGTGTTCCTCCTCCGGAAGGAGGTTCTTCTTCTCTCGATATTACTGGATCAGGTGGAACAGTTGGCGAATCGGTATCTACATACAATGCACGGGCTAAATTAACGTACCAATTAATGTATAAAGCCATGCCCTTACAGTACATGAAAATATACTTTTAAAACTCTTTTACGATACTCGTTCAAATAAAAAATTTAATATATTGCCATAGATTTGCGTGTCGCATATACATATATATTACATCCATTGTGTAAGCAAGATTTTATAAAAAATATTCGAATTGTGGATTAATATTAATCTATTAAAATGAAAATATAAAAAGTTGAATAGATTATACATCTTTAAAAGACATTGTCAAATTCATCTTGACATGACAGATTAGAACTAAAGGCACATGGCAGAGAAGCATTTTTAAATAAAAAATTACTTTTTAAAATTAAGAATTATTAAGATTGTTAAAGAATAGGAAAAAAGAAATAAATAGAGAGAGAGAGAGAGAGAGAGAGAGAGCAGCATAGCTTATAATAAAAAATATAATTGCCGTGTATTTAAATAGCTGAAAAGTAAAATAAAAAATGCAAGTGCACATGGAAACACATGGATCAAAATAGCTTTCGACTAAATAAAAAAAAATACAAGTGTCACTACAAAAGAATAAGATACTCGAACAAAATAAATTTCAAATGCAAAATCTACTTAGATGCAAAGAGAGCAAATTATTCAAATAGTTAAAGGAATGATTGATTAATTCTCTAACTTCAACGATAAAGTCGACAAATTGTAAGCAACATCTCCATTGCTCGACTCAAGCAGCCATTTAATTTGGAAAAACAATAGGTTCTGGCAAGAATGTCGTTTCGCGATTACACTCGCACGAAAATTGCACCACGTGAGCCAATGATTAAAATACTAATATCCATATATCAACTTCTCACGGAGACGAGCTAGAAAAGGCAGGCCAGGCGAGTTTCGCTGCTAGCGATAAGTAAACATGCGGAAATATTTTTATAATCCCCCCTCCCCCGCTCGCCTAAGAAGATTAGACTTTCGCACGCAGAGGAGTTGAATAAAGACGATGCTGACTGCCGGAAGTCAGGTCGACGAACAAATACCGAATAGAAGGTGATTCGAACAATATGTTAACATTATGCCAGACAACGGGATTCACGTAACCCAGTTTGGGGGGGGGGGAGCATTGTAAAAAAAGAGAAAAAAATTAAAGCCAAAAGAAGGAATTTGTGTATGAATGGTGAGGGGGGGGGAGAAGGGAGGGATAAAGTAAGGGGTGAGGGTACATTAGTAAAAATAAAAAGTGGCGCCGCGTAATATCGTGTGATGTAAGATACAAGGTCGTGCTATAGGAGTGCGTGCAAGTACTGAGCAGCAGGTACAATCTCCTCCTTCTTCGAGGGACAAAAACGTGTTCGTCCTCGACTCGAGAGGTTTACAACTAACCGTGATGAGTCTCGGGTGGTACGGAGATGTTAGTCGTAACGACGGCGCTGTCGGTACCGCTGGTTATGTTAACCGCGAGGTCGGCTTCTGCTGTTACTGCCGATACCGACGATGATGACGACGTCGATGATGATGGCGATGACGATGGAGATGACGATGGCGATGATGAAGATGATGGTGGTGGTGGTGGTGGCGGTGGTGGTGACGATGATGCTGCTGCTGCAGCTGCAGCTGCAGCTGCTACTGCTGCTGTTGCTGCTGCTGTTGCTGTTGCTACTACTGCTGCAGCCGCTGCTGCTGTTGCTGCTGCTGCTGCTACGGTGACGGCGGCGACGGCGGAGGTGACGGGCGATGACGGAGCCGAAGTGGGCGTCGTGGCCGTTGGCTCCGTCGCCGTCGCCGCCGCATCTGGCTTCTGCTGTAGCTCTAACTGCTGTGGCTGCGACTGTGATTGCGACTGCAGCTGTGGCTGTGATTCTGGCTGGGGTTGGGGCTGAGGCTGCGTTTGAGGTTGAGACTCTGACTGAGGCTGAGACTCTGACTGAGACTCTGACTGAGGCTCAGGTTGAGGTTGGGGTTGAGTTTGAGATTGAGGCTGAGATTGATGCTGAGGTTGCGACTGCTGCAGCTGCTGTGCTTGTGGTTGTGACTGTGGCTGTGTCTGTGGCTGTGGCTGTGGCTGCGACTGCGGTTGAGGCTGCAGCTCCTCGTAGGAAGTCTGTTCTAGGTGAGGCACGGGCTGAGCCGCAGCCGGTGACGGAGACGAGGACGACGAGGATGACGAATTGATGCAGAACGAAGGCACGAATTCCGCCGCATTGACGTTCAGTGTGGAGAACTTGCTCTCGACGGACTTGTCGAGGACGCTGTCCGCGACTCCGCTGTCCGCCTGCTGTTCCCACGAGTCCGGCGCAACGCTGTTCGCCATGGCTCCTCGCGCTCACACAACCTCTATTTCCCTTTTAGCTCTCACTCTATCTCTTTCTCTCTCGCACACACACACACTCTGTTTCGTTCTCTCTCTCTCTCTCTCTCTCTATATATATATATATATATATATATATATATATATATATATATATATCACGTTCTCTCTCTCTTTCTCTCTCTTCCACTTTCACTCTCACTCTTGGTGGTTCGCTCGCTCCTTGTCTTTTGGGCTTCGCTAAGGGTTGGGCGGACTAGTAGCTCTCGCTCTCGTTGACCCTCAGGCTCGGTGACCGAGGACGAGCCGCGCGGAGCGTCCCTTCGGCTGCCGCAGCTGCACAGACGGGCGGAAACGAGGGAGGACGATCGGCCCGTCCGCAGCGCCGCGCCGTACCGTTAACGCGCGCTCGGTCGGCCGGCGCTCCTCGGGGCGGACACGCGCGCGCACGAGGTGCGAGGCGCCGCAGCGGCCAGGCCCCCCACACCCCTGCCCGTCGACACCACCACCACCACCTTTCCAGCCAGCACCACCTCCTCCTCCTCCTGCCCCTCTATCGTCTTCGTCGTCGTCGTCGTGGTGATGGTTGTCGTCGACGTCGTCGTCGTTCGCCTCCTTCTGCTTCTGCTTCTGCTTCTGCTTCTGCTTCTACTTCTGCTTCTGCTTATGGTTCTTCTTCTACTCCTCCTCCTTTTCCACCACCACCTTCTGCTCCTCGTGCTTCTATCGCTGCCGCTCGCGATGGCCTCGTCGTACAGGCGCGTGGAATCCGCGCTACGGCCCCCCGAGAGTCTCCCCAATGAACACGCTGCGATGAAGAGAGAGAGAGAGCGTGTATGTACGTGCGTACCAGTGAGGTCGAAAGAGGGGCGGGGGAGGGCTAAGGTTGTATATGTGAGTGAGTGAGTGAGTGAGAGAGAGAGAGAGAGCTGTTGCGTGTGCCGTGGCCAATGTTCCGTATCTGCTCTACGCCTCCACCGTGTCGAACCGTCGGCCGGAAACTGCGTTGGTCAGAGTCAAAGCTGGGAAGTGGTCGCTGGTTCCGTGCACACGCGTGTTGCGCCGAGGCCCGGTGTACGTGCCGCCACGAGTTGCTGATGCTGCTGCTGGTGCTGGTGCTGGTGCTGGTGCTGGTGGTGCTGCTGCTGCCGCCACCGCTGCCGCCGCCGCTGCCGCCGCCGCTGCTGCTGCTGTCGCCGCCACCGTTGACGTTGTCGTTATCGTAGTCGTTATCGCTGTCGTTGTCGCTACGAGCGCGGGGATCGCCTTGCGCCTCGAGCGGTGCAGTTGGATTTTTACGGCAATGGTCCGACAACGACGGAGGGGCGCACCGGAGAGAACGAGAGAAGGAGAGAGAGAGAGAGAGAGAGAGAGAGAGAGAGAGAGCGAGCGTGCGAGCGTGTGCTAGAAAGGCCGCCGCGTGTCAAGCTCAAGCAGCCCGTGTGCTGCTGCTGCTGCTGCTGCTGCCAACGGCGAATCGTCCCAGTGTCGAGGCACTGCCGCCTTCGAAAATCCTCGTGGCCGTGCGCGCTGTTGCCAGACCGCGGTAGCCGTATTTCCTGGTGCCGGGGAAATCCCTTTACCTTTTACACCGAGTTAGCACACTCGCGACTATTTTCACTGCGCGCCTTCCGCGTTCGAGTCGCAGCTCTCGGAGCCGTGAACGTGTCTATTGCCGCGACAGCCTTTGTCTTTTCCAATTGGCGACCGCCTCGACGCTATTGACGTGTTTCGACTCGTCTAGGTGCCAAGAATCTCGTATACGTCTTTATCCAGCTAACAACCACTGTCCTCTTTTTCATTCTCCCGCTAAGTTGGCCATTCGCCTCCATTTTAAGCTGTCGTCTTCCACGAGCGACGCAGCAGAAGACGAGGATGATAGTTTTTAAATGTTGTACTTAATAATGATCGACATTCTTTTTCCAGACTACTGTCGTCCAACGAGAATAACTTAATGCGATACACAATGTCCTCCTGCATTGTCGATTATTATGCCATAAAAAAAAAAAAAAAAAAAAAAAAAAATATAATATTGGAAATGTGTTTGGTCAGTTTGTCATGCAATTGTGAAGATTTCTGCCGCTTTCCAATTCCTGCACAAGAATATCTAAATTTAATTTAAGCGCGGAAGATCGAAATGAGAATTACTGTACGTTTTTTCCATTA